TGCCTAGAAGCAGTGAAGATACGGAACATTTTTAGACAGCATCTCATGCATCTGTTTATCATATGGAGCAGCAAGCCATCTGGAATGAGGCCCGATGTCCTAGGTAGAGAAATCACAACATCGTTTTACAAAACCATCAAACCTATTAAAGACAAGCAGCATGGCAGGTCAAGGAAACAATTATTCGGAAGGTCTTTAAGCAGGCAACACCTTGTTTCTCCTAATAAGGCAATCGTCTGGGTTTTGTGACCATGACTGGGCTTACTTCTAAGAGCTGGTGTAGTTTCAGCTTTGAAAGATTTGTTCATTTTGCATTATACATTTATTCATCATACTTATGTTCTTAGACTAAATTGGAAACAAAAAAGTACACACAAACTCTATTGCAAAACTTAGCCTCGCTCCCTACGTAGACAGCTGCACAGGAGACTTAAATTTATTTTTTAATTTAGTTTGATTCTAATATGTTGCAAAGCTTACAGCATAATATCTCAAGTATAATCAATACTTGTCAGTATTAGAAGAAATATAAGGCATCTCAGGTTGTGAAACAAAGCAACATTGTAAATGATCATTTTCACTGCAGTTAGCAATGAAATGCAAGCAAATTTAGGCGAAAATCTTTTTTATTTTTAAGTGCCTGTACTTTATGTTTTTATAAAAAGTCTCTTTGACTGATTTAGACAAAAATAAGATGAGCTATATATTATTAAAAATGCATATGAATATAAATGCACATATGCCACTGTTTGAGGTCAGTAATTTAGTCATCTTTAAAGAAATGAATACTTTTATTCAGCAAGAATGCATTAAATTGATTAAAACTGGCAGTAAAGAATAATATTACAAAATATTTATATTTCAAATAAATGCTGTTCTTCCGAACTAAAAAAAAAACCAGTTTTCAAAAAATATTAGGCAGTAAATTATTATCAATATTTCCAACACTGATAATAATAAGAACAGTTTCTTGAGCAGCAAATCAGCATTTTTGATTGATTTTTGAAAGATAACATGACACTGAAGACTGGAGTAATGATGCTGAAAATTCAGCTTTGCCATCACAGAAATAAATTACAAATTAAAATATATCAAAATAGAAAACAATTCTTTTAAATTGTAATAATATCTCACAATAATTTTTTTTACTGTATTTCTGATTGAATAAATATAGTCTTGGTGAGCATAAGCAGAAAGAAAAAAAAGAAAATCTTACTGACCCCTTACTTTTGAATGGTAGTGTACAGTACATAACAAAGACTGAACTCTGTAAGGGACCCACCAAGGAATGAATTAAAACCATTAATCAAAAACTTTACATTAATGTGAGCTGACCCACCAAGAGAGCCTATAACTATAATTTTTATTCAGCTTGTGGGTGGGAGTCTTCAGTTTGGCATTTTCATTTAAAAAAATCATTGGCATTCATGCGATTCCATAAGTTTCAGTTTTCACTACATGGGTTCGAAGGACAAGAGACTGACGTGACCATTAAGTTTTACAGAGGACCACTAACCTCTTCACATTCAAGAGGGGGGCAACGTGACATGACAAATTTTATGACAGCAATTGTGGCAGGTCGTGGTTTATTAGAAACATGTTTAGACGAGTCAACCAGCAGTAAATTCACATCCCATCAACTGCTGAGTATTTCAAGATTGCACTCCATGACATCAGCCACTTTTCCCAAGGTTATGCACGGAAGCCGATAATTTATGGCGGCGTTTGGTCAGACAGTGACTCCTCTGGCTTTGCTAAAGGAAGTGACCTTACAAATCTCATCGTGCAGGATGACCACGAGGCCTGAGACTCACGGTAAATCATTCCAAAAAAGCCCAGCTCCGATCGGTCGACTGAGGATATGACTATTACTGTCACTCTGTGGTTCAGACAATCCGATCTCAATTGGCCACACCATCCTCTCAGCTGTTATGACTCTATGTTGGTTTGCCTGTACCAGTGTATTTGTCATTTTCAGCTCTTTTCCTCCCCACAACATCCTTGGCTACATTTCCCCAAACAGTTCAGATCATGACACTGACATACACACCAGCGCTTGTGTTTAAGTAACAGCAGAAATATGCGGAGTGTACTCATACACACTGGTAAACTACACTCAGCCACAGGGAAAACCCATACATTCTTCAGGATGATGAAGCTTGTTTAAAATACCATTTTGGGTGTTTCAGCTAAATGCCATTATGTATACCTTAATCCTTTCACACAAAAGTAAGACAAAACAACTTAGAAACACCATGATCTGACTCTAAAATAATAGCATGTTTTTTTTTTTATATTAAGGATTCTGACTTACAGTAGTTTAAAGACAAATGCCACTGTGAATATCATAGGGTTATTCCGTGTCAACTCAAAAAGTGGTCCCCGGCTCAAATTTTGGATTTTGTTAATATTTCTTTCTCTAGAAAGACAACATATATAGTGATGAAAGCCAAGATATTAAATGTCACAGGTGTGTATTTACTGAGTAATCCACTATTTTGTAGAGGGGGTTCAAAATAACAATTTTCATCTGAGATTTGGAACCAAATTAAAGGGGTGTAAAAATGACTTTAGAAAGCTGGCAGCATATTTATTTTATTTTTACAAAGAGATTAGAAGGTCTATTAGTAAAATCTGTTGACTGTTTTAGCAATTTTTGTTTCCTTATATGCTAACAGTGACCATTCAAAAATGTCAAAAAGCACTTCTTGTGCTTTTTTGCCTCAAGTTTGCATGCCTATAACTCAAGAAGTATTAAAGATAGCTTAATATCCTTTTAGATTCTGGTTCTTAACAAACTTTCCATTTGGTATCTTCATTTTAAAGGCCCTCGAAGGTTTAATCCCAGAGAAATGGAGATCATAATGCAGCTCCATGATTAAATTGGTAAATTGTTCACATTTCAGAGGTCAAAAACCAAATTTGGGTCACTTTGCATATAGCTGATACTTTTTTCTTTTAAAGAGGAATATCTAAAGAACAAACTCAAAAAATACATTCAAAAAACAATGCATAAACAATATGATCGATCTATAAAATGCTAGCATGTTGTTTTATATTCAGGCTTCTAACTTAGAGTAACTAAGAGTATCAATAGTCAAAAGACACAATCCATAGCAATGAAATTCTGCATTGAAATTAAGGATACTCACCATTCTTACAGAGTCCGAGTGAAGCGTTAACAGGTGTACAATCCAAAAGAATGCAAAAAAAATCCCCAAATGATCCAAAAGGAAAGACAAACAATCCAATATGAAATATCCATAATACTTGCACATCATTGCTGTAGAAAAATACACAAGTTACTTATTCCACAATTATGGATGTCACTGTCAATTTACTGTGTTCAAACGGGCCACAGCTGCTTTCCACAAAGCATGAACACCAAGGAGGAACCATATTGAATCTTACATGTCACATGATTAAAAGGTCACATGATATTGCCATGCTCAGACTATAAAAATAATAATAATAATAACAAAATAAAAGCTAGAAAACATTACAGACATACAGCCTTCACTAGTACAGTGAAACAAATCTGAATACTATTGTTCTTTATGACAGCAATTACTCAACAGGACAATAACAACAATATCTGATATCCAATGTCTATACAAGATGAGACAAAAACATATATAGAGTGACCATATGTCCTCATGTAATTTCTAAATTGCCTAAAATGTCTAGGTTTTGGCTTTGACTTCCTACTAGTTTGACCAGTAGCGTTCAGGCATTGTACATAATCGACCAATTGTGGCATGCAAGAGAGATCTACATAGAATGGCCAAAGCAATGCAAATACGCATTTAATGTAAGAGGACTGCAGAGAGCACCTCAGTCGGAATACAAACCCAAAACCAGACATTTTAGGCAATTTAGAAAAACCCAGCCAGGAGATGTCCAGGACAAAGAGGATGTATGATCATCCTTCACATAAAAACACATATATAGCCACACTTCAGTTAAAAAAGCAAGACAGGTCCTTGTCAAATCTTAGAGAGGCCATATAATGAATCCATCTTGCCTCATACAAAAACATTCTCCACTGAGTGCATACAGGAAATTTCAGATGCTTTGTTTTGTTTTAGAGTTGCTTTTTACATGGTAGAGCGGGCAAAGTCAATTCACTAGTGACATCCACCCATAGTTAAAAACTTCCAAAACGGAAATACACCTCCATTACTGGAAATGTAAGACTGGAAAAGAATACATCCCATGGTCTTTGTTAGAGTTACTTATACTGTTTCTAATGGACATGAGGGGTCTGTCTTACAATCGTAATAAATCCAGCTTAACTGCTGTCCGCTTTAAGCTCTTTTAGTCCATGTTTATAGCCACTTTAGTGCCTCTCCAGATAGAGCAGCTGCAAACTAATAACATCAGCTGGCTGTTGTAGAACCCGGATGTGAAGTTTCCCACTTAGCACAAACTTCCCACCCCTGAAAAAGTACCGCTCTGTCATAGCTAAATATTTCTGACTCCAGCGCTGCATGTTGACACTGGTTAAGAATGATCAGCATCTCAAAGCATCTCTATCTGGTTTAAGTTGATGTACACTGTTAGACTTTTTATCGTATTTTTGCGGTAAATTACTGGCAGCACTATTGCCAGTAAGTTACTGTAACTACCCCTTTACAGTAGCTTATCACAAGTTCATTTTACAGTATAATGCCCTCGTGAGAAATTCATTCATTCATTTTCAATAGTCTGTTTCACTCAAATGAACATCACAATAGAAAAGAGGTGTTACAGTACTACCAGTTTATCGCAACTTTAAATTCTTGTCCAGTCCTTATATCAGATTATAATACTTTCTGTATAATATAACATACCAAACCAATCACAATATGATATAAGCCTGGATTAGAATAATATGAAATAACAAATGTTGGATATCTGATCAAATAAACGACGCTCACTGTAGAATATCTGTGGCATTTGTTTGCAACCCTTCATTTCTGCCCCTGTGGTAGGCATGTTGCTGATGATGAGTAATAAAGATGAATTTGGTAAAAACATCTTCTGCAAAATCTAACACTTGATGAGAATAAAACGATGATGATTCTTACTGGCTTTTATCTCTGAAACATTTCCCAGAGAATGCAGCACTATGGGGCAAAACTAGTCAGTTATCAGTTTTACAATTTAGCCTCTGGACCTAAATTGGCTCTTGATGGATTGATATACACCTGGACCCACACCAAAAAAGAGACCAACCCGTGGTGGAGAGTGGATCTACTGAAAGTATACAGAGTGATCAGAGTCACCATCACTAACAGACCGAGCCATGCCTTGAGGATTAACGGGGCGGTGATTCGTATCGTATTTGTTGACAGTAGTTGATGTAGAAATGACTCACTTCACCTCAAGTCATTGTTAAAATCTTCCCAACCACTGCAACGTTTGTGCGTTAAGATGGGGTTTTTTTTCCCCATAAATTGTATTAGGAAATCTGGCAGTGGATGGAGCCGCTACACAGTCATCAACATTTCCGGGCTGGTTTGCTGAAAAGGCCATTGACAGTAATCGAGGATTCCAGCAGTTAAATACGCGATGCTCCTCAACCCTTACTGAGACTAACCCATGGTGGAGGCTGGATCTGCGTAAAGTGTACAGAATTAGTGAAGTGGTCGTCACTAACAGAGAATACGGCTGTACAGAACTAATAAACAGAGCAGAGATTCGCATCGGGAACTCTTTAGAGAACAACGGCAACAAAAATCCCATTTGAGACCCTCAAGTGAGACATCGAGCACAAGTGTGAAGGATTGATGCAGATATGACAGTATTTTTATATCCTTTCTCTCTGTCTGTAGATGTGCTGTTATTCCTGCTATTCCAGCAGGTGAGTCCTACAGATACTTATGTAATGGGATAGATGGACGTTACGTGAATCTGATCATTCCTGGAGACATGAAGACACTCGCTCTGTGTGAGGTGGAGGTTTATGGAGAAGGTGTAACAATGTCACACATTTTTGTCAACAAAACAGTGAGGAGCACTAATACGTTTTAATGAAAGCAACCTCTACTAATTCATATTACATGTATCAATGTATCTTGTTTAGGTCCCGTTTTAAAAAGATCATTTGTAAAGATGCAGTTTAACACCAGAGTTGGTTTAACTGACCCTTCAGTGAGAGAAAATGTTCTGAAACAGGTGAGAGAAAGAAACAAATTTAACTGTCATGAATAAATTATCAGCAGCTCTCGTCTGGTTTCCCTCTTTTTAAAAACAGACCTCATAATCCTGAAGTTGATTGAAATTCAATGAAACCCTTAAATGTCTTTATGGACATTCTAAGGCTTGTTGTGATTGTTTTTTGTTGCGTTTGAAGATTTACATGAAAACTTCATTCTCACAGAAGGTTTCAGTGATCGTATATAAAATCAGGTTATTTCAGAAAATTCACCAAATAATTACTAAGTTGCTATTGTTCCAGAGCTGCTTCACGAGGAATATAATGGCATTGTTTTAATCTGGATTTACAGTGGTATGATAAAAGTTTCTATGAGACATGAAGATTTGAGTGTATTGTTACATTCCAATTTAAATATGTTATTAGAGGATTCACAAACGTGACTCTACGTTGGTCTCAAACCCCAAAACGGGTGATCCAGAAGGTGAATGCTGGTAAAAGTGAGTCTGTTCTCACAACTGTACAATAACTCATGAAAGAAGCTGCACAAATATGGATTTCAATTTGTTATGAGATGTAATAGGCAAATATTTTATTTACAGGTCATTGTGGCAATGGAAAATAACACACTGGAAATCAAGACTGTCTTTATTTCACTAAATGTATTTTTGTTAAAGACGTTAATTCTGATTTTAAATGCATCGCTTGAAATTTCTTTATAATTATGCTTACAATGAAAAGATTATATAATTAATTTCGGTTTACTTTCCTTTTAGTGTTTATTCACATATTTAAGAATTTTAATGCATCTTGTGTATAACTGTATTGTAAACAAATGGAGATAGATAGAAATAAATATAATGAAAATATTATAGATATAATAGAGCTAGTACAATATAGAGCTTGCATATAAAAAGGTATTCTTCCCCACTGAACTCTTAAATCTACTAAGATAAATATCAGTGCTACTCCCCCTGAGTGACGATGCACATCTCTTACAAACACATAATACTCTGCCAGATACCTTGAAACACAATTTCTTATTATTTTAAACACCAACACCAATTTAAGAAAGATTACCCTTTTTTTTAACTTTAAAAAAACTTGAATCACTGTTAAACTACGCCCCTGTACACAGCAAACATAGATAACTATTCATCAATTAAACAACAATCAGACACAAAACAACAGTTTTAGATATGCAATCTCTCAACCTTTAAAATCAACATTCAACTGCAAACGTAAAGTTGGTTATCTATGTAAAAGATAACAATAATTCAGTCTCACCAATATGAAGCTGAAGGGCTGTGACACCTTGAATGGCACCAGCTCGCTTAGTAATATGATATAATTGAGCAAATGTACAGTACAACTGGCTTGATAAGGAATCTCAATCTCAAAACACCATGAACGTCCAACAAGGTCCGTCAATTCCTGTACCAAGATGAAGGCATTTGGCTCACGAATAGTAACTTTATAAAGCCCCAGTTGGGAGTTTTCACCTCCATTTATTCCAGCGTAAGCTAATTTATATCAAAGAATACCCAAGACGTGTCACTCATATAGTTTTGAATGGGGGAAAAATGCAACGCTCAATATGGCCGCTCAATCACAGGAAGCCCCGCCTTCTGAATGAAAGAGCCAATCGCTAATCGGTAAAGTCAGCGCATCACTGCAGCTGCCGTTAGAAGTCCAGGTTGCTATAGAAACAGTCAGCATTCTGAGACGTGCTCTAAGGACTGCGCATGCGCACTGGCTGATCTAGCCTGAAAAATACGCTTTTTATAACGCTATTTGAGCAAAAGTAACAACATTTATGACACAGTTGTTGTCAGATTTCTTTGGTGATTTCAAATATGAAATTTAATCATAAGCTTAGTGAACAGTTTTGGAGAATTTGTTGTTTCCCCATTCAAAGATATAGGAGTTGCACTTGAATGCCCGAGAGTCGTTTCAAAGATGGCCGCCGAGTGGCATTACTTGTCTTAAAAGGACTTTGTTTATATTCACAGAGAGGACGGCTAAAAAGCGATAACGTTCACCATCACTAATCTAATCCTTTTAATAACAATTCAGAAATTATAGAATTCTGGTCAATCAAAGAAGCAGTAACTGAAGTGCAATTTAATTTTCTTTCCAGTGTTGCAGTAAATCTGTTTGAACCACAGTAAATCCTGTGGTGATTAAACTGCAAAACCTCAGAATATCCATATAAGAAAGCCAGATAAATTTAGTTAGTTAAAGGCCCTCAGCTCGATTCCGAGCCATAGCCACTTGATGGATAAATGATCTATAAGAAGATCGATCTTTCTTGTGAAAGTTGGTTGAGCTCGGCCAGTGTCCGTGATTGTCATTGCGGTGATTGTATCAAGCCATCAAGTTGCTGGCCTTCCTCATGTCCTTGTTCCCTCTGTTCGGCCAAGCATGATGTCCTTTTCCAGTGATTGATGTTTTCTTATGATGTGGCCAAAGTAGGCAAGTCGTAATTGTGTAATCCGAGATTCGAGTGATATTGCCTGCTTGATTTGTTCCAAGACTGATTTGTTTGTCCTTCTTGCAGTTCATAGGATTGATAAAATTCGGCTCCAGCACCACATTTCAAATGCATTGATCCTTTGACTGTCTTGTTTCCTTAACGTCCAACTCTTGCAACCGTAGGTGACTACGGAAAAGATCAAACTGTGCATAAGCCGAATCTTGATTGACAGGGAGATGTCCTTAGATTTAAAAACCTTGTCCAGTGACTTCATCGTCGACTTTCCCATTGCGATTCTCCGCTTGACCTCCATGGTTGATGTGGCCTCGGTATTCACTATCGATCCAAGTAGATTGAAGTCCTTAACAACTTCTATTTCATTAATTTCGTTACTATTTATTTTTACTTTCTGGTGTTGAGAAAAGAGAGAAAGCTTTATATAAGTGTGTGAAGTATGCGCCATTACCTCGAAGAAACTGCACAAAATCTTCATTGGTTCCCATTCGGTTTGTCGTCACTTGGCCACTTTAGAAAGAAAAACGGACAATCGTATTTAATCCGTGTATCATTCGATCATTCGTTTTTTGATTTAATATTTTTCTCGTTTTTCTACTTTCAATATTAAATAAAAAAACGAATGATCAAATGATACACGGATTGTATTTCCTTATAAACCTTTTTCCAACACCCCATGACGAATTATGAGAGTAACTTACGTTTGTACTGTAAACAATCAGCAAAAAGGTTCACTCTATGAACGCGATAATAAGCATTGTAAAAAAACTGGGTACAATGAGGTGACATTATTTTACTCACCCTTCAACCATCGATCATTAAAAGAAAATTTAAAAGTGTAAAAGCATTAAAGGGATAGTTCACCCAAAAATGAAAATTCTGTCATTAATTTCTCACCCTCATGTTGTTCCAAACCTGTAAGACCTTTGTTCATCTTCGGAACACAAATTAAGATATTTTTTTATGGAATCTGAGAGCTCTCTGACCCTCCATAGACAGCAAGGATATTACCACGATCAACGCACAGAAATGTAGCAAGGACATCTGTAAAATAGTCCATGTGACATCAGGGGCTCAACCATAAGTTTACGAAGCTACGAGAATACTTTTTAGTGTTGTAGAAAGCATGCGCATGCTGAACATAAACAGCGCTGATTATGTTGATAACGTTTTGGGGTACTCTCCAAAATGGCGGAAGACGGTACCTTGGGGAGAAGAATTGTTGAATAAATTATGTTATTATTGTTTTCTTTGCGCACAAAAAGTATTCTCGTAGCTTCGTAAGATTACGGTTGAACCCCTGATGTTCACTGCCATTTAAAACTTTGGGATGAGTAAGATTTTTAAAATACTTTTATTCAGCAAGGGTGTATTAAATTGATCAAAATACAGTATATTTCAAATAAACACCATGTTCTACAACACTCTTCTAACTTTATATTCTTCAAAAAGCCTGAAGACTGGAGTGACAGTGACATGCCGACCTCCTGGAGAGTGTTCTTCTCTTGGCTGGATGTTGTGAAAGGGTTTTTCTTACCATGGAGAGGATTCTCCGATCATCCACCACTGTTGTCCTCAGTGGACATCCAGGCCTTTTTATGTTGCTGAGCTCACTAGTGCATTCTTTTTTTTCTCAGAATGTACCAAACTGTTGATTTGACCATCGCTAATGTTCCTGCTTTCTCTCTGATGGATTTGTTTTGTTTTGTTTCACTTGCATGGAGAGCTCCTTTGACCGCATGATGTGGGTTCACAGCAACAGCTTCCAAATGCAAATGCCACACTTAGAATCAACTCCAGAACTTTTACCTGCTTAATTAATGTAGAAATAACAAAGGAATAGCCCACGACTGTCTATGAAACAGCTTTTGAGTCAATTGTCCAATTACTTATGGTCCCTTGAAGGGGAAGGTACATATTAAAGAGCTGTAATTCCTTAACCTTTCCTCCAGTTCTGATGTGAATACTCTTAAATTAAAGCTCATAGAGTGTGCACTGGAAGCCCATATTCATTATATAACTTTATATACAGCAGAAACATTATATACAGTAGAAATAATCAAGGACAAGATGGCACCGCAAATGGCAGCCACGACGCTGAGCTCCGCAATTCTTGTGATGTTTTTGTTTGTTTGTTCTGTGTTTTATCATTCTTCGTCTATAAGTTTTACCAGAGACGAACTCCTTAACATTAAACAACACATCCCAGACACAATTTTTCCAGTTTTTGATTACTCGGACGTTTTGTTGGACATTCTTGTCGGAGGTACAGCTGTGTTGCTCAAACGCGCGTGCAGACACAGAAGAGGGAAACGCGCCGGCGCCCTGGTTAAGCTCCGAGCGCGGCGGCTTTCGAACTGCGCTCCCAAGCATTCATCTCGCGAA